GGGGCGGCCCCCCGCGGCCGGCATTGGGCTGGGCTGGGGGGCAGCCAGAGGCCTCAGCTGGCGAGCTCACGGGCTCCCCAGAGCTGGACGGGCAGAGCGGCCGTGTGAGCTCTTTGCCAAATGGCCAGGGGAGTGCCCGGGCTGGCGACGGGTGGCTGCAGCTGAGCTGGCACGGCCGCTGTCATTCAGTTCTCCGTGCGCACCTACTGCATGCGAGGCCCGGGGCCGTGCTGAGGTCACAGCAGATGCCTGGCCTCCATGGGGCTCACAGCCTAGTGGGGGATGGAGCTTGGGGTCGGAGGAGCCCAGATGCACCTCAGGCCATGGGGGCAGGAGGCCAAGGAGGGCTTCCGGGAGGTGTCGTGCTGCGGGTCCGCGTTGGCAGTGGGGCCAGCAGAGAGCGGGGCTTGCAGCCAGCCCGTGTTACAAGCGCAGCGTGCTGGCCGCGCTGACGGGCCCCTGGCCGCGCTGTCGGGCCAGGTACTTGTTCCTGTTTGACAAGGTGGTCATCGTCTGCAAAAGGAGGGGCTACAGCTACGAGCTGAAGGAGGTCATAGAGCTGCTGTGCCACAAGATGACCGATGACCCCATGAACAACAAGGACATCAAGAAGGTGCGCCCGGGCTTTCCGCAGTGAGGGCAGGGCCTCGGCAGGTGGGGCAGGCAGCGATCTCCATTCCAGCTGAGGGAGGAGCTGGAATGTGGCCTGGACTTTCCTGTCATCCTCCCGTCGCTGTGACTTCTGCAGAAGGCATGCCTGCTCTGTGCTCACCCAGTACTTCCCCCGGCCTTTCATCTTTGAATCTTTCCTGGGACTGGGCACGATAGGGTCACAGCGCCCCAGAGAGGACACTGAGCAGAGGGGCCCGGCCCAGGGCCTCGTGTGGCAGCCAGGCCTCAGTCCTTGGCTGCCTGACTCCAGCCCACATCGTCCCCTGCAGCAAGCAGGCTTTCCTGTACCTCCCCACCCTGCTCCCTTTGAAGGAGGGCTCCGGGTGGGCCTTGCTGTGGCTTGACAGACTCAGCCGTCCAGCCACTGTGTTATGGCTGCCAGGAGTATGGCCATGGCTGGGGGGTGGGCTCGTGGCTGCGGGGGCGGGGCCATGACTAGGGGCTGGGGTCATGGCTGGGGGGTGAGGCCGTGGCTGTGGGGGGTGGGGCCGTGCCTCCAGGGTGAGATTGCCACTGGGTCCGGTTTAGTCCTGCTTCCACAGAAGCTTCTGCACCCAGAGCTTGAGCACCTACTGTGTGCAGCCTGGGCTAGATGTGTGGGCCACGAGCCAATGTGCTAACAATCTCAGCTCGACTTTAGAGCGTACGGTATAGAATGCAGGTACCACCTGGAGGAGCTATGGGGGTGACCCCCCTAACGCTGAGGTCCTAAACCAGCTCCCAGGGACCCTGAGGTGCTGACCTGAGGCCTCTCTTTAGGCTCTGGGCTAACGACGCACCCCCTCGAGTCCCAGCCCCCAGCACCTTCCCCTCTGGGAGGGAAGCCCCCTGGCTGCCCCGTCCCGGGCACTGGGGGTGTGGTCCGTGTCCCGGGCTGCAGAGCCCACCGCAGGGCCGGGCCGGGCCTCGTAGTGACCTCGTCTCCCCTTTTCCTCCCTCCCCTCATGCTTCCTAGTCTCATGGGAAAATGGTAAGCTCCTGGAGCCCCCTCCCCGCCCCTTCCCCGTCTCAGGGCCCCAAAGCCAGCACTTCCTTCCTGAGCTGGGGGTCCTGGCCCCGGGGGTCCTGCGGGCTCCAGCAGGGCCAGGCCCTCGGCTCGCTGCTTCCTCCTTCCTCCCCTGGCTTCTTAATTATGGGGATGGCTTCGGGGCACGATAACAGGTCTGCCCGCGTGCCAGGTCCGCGGCAGAGCGAAGGCCCCACGGCCCCGCCTGGGCCCCGCGCCGTGTCCACACGCCGCGGTCAGGGTGTCGGCGCCCCTGCCTTGCGCTCCCTCCTCGCCTCCCCTCCCCTTCCTCCTTCCTCGCTGGGTCTCCCCTTCCTTCCTCTCCCGCTCCATCTTTTCGAGCAAACGGGCCCAGACGTACCAAACTCTCCTTCTCGGGCCCCTTTGAAAGCTCCGGAGATGGCGAGGCCTGGGGGTGGCCCGGGGCGTGGGGCGGCTGTGGGCCGGCCTCACCCTGGGCTTCTCAGGCCCCTGGCCTCACCTGCCCTGACTGTCCCCCTGTCCTTTTACTTCAGATACGTGAGTCTCTTAGGCATCACATTTGGGGCGTGGAAGGGGGTGGGCCGGCCCTGTGGAAGGGCCCTGGGCGAGCTCCCTGGGGACCAGCTCAGTCATTCGTGGGGTTCGGCTGAGGGCGCACCTCGGGCGCGGGCGTGCACGTGCACACGCAGGCGCCCGCACG